TAATAATAATAATAATAATAATAATAATAATAATAAGAAGAAGAAGAAGAAGAAGAAGAAGAAGAAGAAGAAGAAGAAGAAGAAGAAGAAGAAGAAGAAGAAGAAGAAGAAGAAGAAGAAGAAGAAGAAGAAGAAGAAGAAGAAGAAGAAGAAGAAGAAGAAGAAGAAGAAGAAGAAGAAGAAGAAGAAGAAGAAGAAGCAGCCAATTCAAATACTCTAATTGAAACCAGACAAAAGTTAAAAACAGGATTTGGAGATATATAATTTAAAAGCTGTTTATAAATGTTTTAAATGATTGAGTTATAACTAACAACCTACCAATTTGAATTTGTTATAATGATTAAGGGAAACAGAGGAAATTTTTGATGATGTAAATTGATATATGTATGGATAAGCGTGTTATGGGATTATGTATTACCCAACCACCATGTTGCTTCCTTAAATACCTGAAGGTTTGTAAAAATGGAAAATTAATAAAACTTGTTATATAAAGAATAATAATAATAATAGTTGGAAGGGACCTTGGAGGTCATCTAGTCCAACCCACTGCTCAGGCAGGAAACCCTATACTAGTGGTGGCAAACCTTTTAGAGACCGAGTGCCCAAACTACAACCCAAAACCCACTTATGTATCGCCGAGTACCAAATGGGTGTGGCCCACTGGGTGTTCATGGCAAACTGGGTGGGTGTAGCCAGGGTGGATGGGCGTGGTCAGGGTGGACGTGGCCAGCTCGATGTTGCTGGACGGTTTGCTACAGACTTACCTTAAGTCTGCTGCGATCAAATTAAAGCCGTTGTAAAGGTGTCCTTCCGAGGCCACTTTCTTCAAATAAGAGTAGCTGTCCATTTCTGATGTCAAGAAATTGGTCACCAGGGCACCTGCAAAGAGAGGAACGTAACGAGGGATTTGTAACTAGGGAGCATCACTTCCCAGAAGGAGACCAGACATCTCGTCACATCAGGTAAGCTTCGTAGTATATCAGAATTGAATATGCTGCCAGAGTGTAATGGTGTAGGTTCTCCTGCTTGAGCAGGGGGCTGGACTAGAAGACCTCCAAGGTCCCTTCCAGCTCTATTCTATTCTATATGTGTAGACACGATCTTGAAGGACGACAAGGGAAGATATGCTGCCTACAGAACCATCAGATAAAAGTTGGAGGAGCCCACAACTGCTTAACAGCCAGAGAAAAGCTTACGAAGGACCCTGATCAAGCTATAGAAAGAAACAGTGGGAGATTTGCATTTTCAAACTTGCAAAATTCTGTTCACGGGGAAGGAGAATGATCTTATGAGCCCCGGTGGCGCAGTGGTTAGAATGCAGGCTACTGCCGGCTGCCTGCCATTTGGCAGTTCGTTGTGCTTTCCGGCCCTCTCTAAGCGGTTTACAGAGTCAACCTTTCACCCGCAACAATCTGGGTCCTCATTTTACCAACCTCGGAAGGATGGAACGCTGAGTCAACCTTGAGCCGGTCAGGATCGAACTTCAGGCTGTGGGCAGAGTTGGACTGCAATACTGCATTCTAACCACTGCGCATCATGGATGGATGGATGGATGGATGGATGGAAGGGCAATAGCACTTAGGCTTACATACTGCCCCATAGTGTTTTCTGACCCTCTCTAAGCGCTTTACAGAGTCTGCCTGTTGCCCCCAACAATCTGGGTCCTCATTTTACCGACCTCGGAAGGATGGAAGGCCGAGTCAACCTTGAGCCGGTCAGAATCGAACTGCCCAACTGCTGGCAGCGGAGTTGGCCTGCAATACTGCATTCTAACCACCAGGGCTCCCTTTTTTAATTCTAGTCTGCAATTACAGTTCTAATGATATAACACAGCCCGTATTACCATGACGGAGAATAACCATTCTTACAGCGAGGCAGGTGATAGCCCACCGCTTCTCCTTTGCTACTACATACTTGCCTCTTCCTTTCGCCTGCTTGTTTATCTGAGGCTGCATGTAATTGGTCAAGGCGGCCATCTTGCCTTTCCTGCTGATGCCAAGCCAGGACCCACCTTCTTTCCCTTCTTCCATATCCAAGCCTGCCATAAAACAAACAAAAACAAAAAACAAACGAATCGTCACCTGGGCAACATTAATCCCCTGGGGTTGGTGACCAAGTGGCATTATGGCCGGGCAGAGTCTGGATCATCCAAGCTTAAGGGGGAATAGACTACCGGGGGCCCTCTTCCACCCAACTCTGGGTCCACACTAGCCGTGGGGGAAGGGGCTGCCTTGAGAAACAAAGCAAGAGAGAGGGGTTAGCTTGGTTTCTGCCCTCCACCAGCTTGTTCGCTTGCCTACGTGTGCTTGTTGGTCATCCCTGGCGATCAGACTAGTTAAAACAGTGTTTCTCAACCTTGACAATTTTAAGGCATGTGGACTTCAACTCCCAGAATTCCACAGCCAGCGATGCTGGCTGTGGAATTCTGGGAGTTGAAGTCCACATGCCTTAAAATTGTCAAGGTTGAGAAACACTGAGTTAAAAGAAAGAAAGAAAGAAAGAAAGAAAGAAAGAAAGAAAGAAAGAAAGAAAGAAAAGGCTGCGTGAAGGCAAAGTAAGACAGTTTTCACAACTCGCTTTCTGGAAAAGTGAAGAACGGGGTCCAGTTTCACGGGAGCTATTGCTATCTATTATTATATCAATTCCTGTTATCTAAATATATGTACTCAGACAATATCCTGTTCGCTAAATATGGAAAATGTCATTGGGGGATAACCTCAATCCTGTTCCCAACCCCGCCCAAACCTTAACCCTGATCCCAACCCCAACCTGAACCCTAAGCCCAACCCTGATCCCATTCTATCCCTAATCCTATAAAATCTAATAAAACTTTGAAAAAAAAGAAAGGATTTAGCCATGCTACACGAGAAGCAGAAGATAAACTACCAACCTTCTTGAGAAGATTGACAGATCAAGGCCTCCGTCTTATAAAACCAAGGGCGGACACACACACACACACACACACACACACACAAGCTCAGGGAGAGGATAAATACATCAAAAAGGACCAGAAAGCTTTTAAAATTCAGATTTCAGCAAGTGCCCCCCCTCCCCACCCTGCTAAGCATCCCTTTGTATAAAAAAAGGGAGAGCAAGAGATGTGTACAGCATATTTGTCAAGAATTCAGAATGAAAACCAGACTTTCAGAGAGTCAAAAAAAAAAAAAAAAAAGAACTTTGGGGCAGACAGTAAGAGTGAGAGAGTAATTTATCCTCTGCAGTATGCCTGCCAATGACAGCAAAGTTAAGCAGAAGAGAAGAATCTTCACAGAGGGTTGTTTTTTTAAAAAAAAAATAATCCCCATGGTTTGAGTGTTCAAATCTCATTTTTATTTATGTGTATACTGAAACATGTATTTTGGGATAGCTAGGCAGGAAAGAGAGAGAGAGAGAGAGAGACGTATAGATAGATAGATAGATAGATAGATAGATAGATAGATAGAGAGAGAGAGAGAGAGAGAGAGGTAGAGATAAATAGAGAGAGAGGTAGATAGGTAGAGATAAAGAGAGATAGAGGTAGATAGGTAGAGATAAAGAGAGAGAGAGGTAGATAGGTAGAGATAAAGAGAGAGAGAGAGGTAGGTGGAGATAAAGAGAGAGAGAGGTAAAAGAGATAGAGATAGAGAGAGGTAGATAGGTAGAGAGAGAGAGGTAGGTAGAGATAAAGAGAGAGAGAGGTAAAGACAGAGATAGAGATAGAGAGAGGTAGATAGGTAGAGATAAAGAGAGATAGAGAGAGGTAGGTAGAGATAAAGAGAGATAGAGAGAGGTAGGTAGAGATAGAGAGAGAGGGAGAGAGGGAGAGGGAGAGGGAGAGGGAGAGAGAGAGAGAGAGAGAGAGAGAGAGAGAGAGAGAGAGAGAAGACAACAGACTAAGGAACTCCTTCAACATTTCTCACAGGAAGCTAATGGCTCAAGAAAGCTGGAGCAGCCGCAGTCTATGTGATTTTTGACAAAGGCCAAATTCACAGAAATGCTTCTCAAAGGATCACAAGGAGACTGCAAATTCTAGTCCTGCCTTAGGCATGAAAGTTGCCTGGGTGACTTTAGGCCAAGGAGACACAGAGGAATTCTAGTCCACCTTAGGTACAAAAGTCAACTGGGTGACTTTGGGCCAATCACTAGGAGATAGTGAGTGAAGCAAGTCCCCACGGTTGTTAAGTGAATCATGTGGCCATAAGTCCGAATCTAATTTACCAAAAGGGCATTTTTTTTAACCTTTTTTTTTCGGGGGAAAACTCCAGAACAGCAAAAAATAAATTTAAAAAAATCCCCAAACGTGATCACAGGACCGTGACATGCTGCAACCCGCCAGTTGCCAAGTGCCCCAAATACATCCGTGTGACTGCAGAGATAGCCCAACAGTTGTAACTTCGAGAACAGCTTATAAGTGACTTTTTTCAAGTCTGTTAATAATTGGAAGGGCCATTAAGTGACCAGTCAGGACTGCTTGGCTTCAGCACATGCCCAAAGAGCCCTCTACGTACCACTGAGAATCTCACTGCTACTGTCCCAAAAATCGGCGCATTTCGAGGGCCTGTGGTAATATTCATCTCTGTTAGCTGCTAGGATAAGCCTGTAGGGAAAGAACAGAAAATCCGTGATTGCGCTGAAAAAAGACGGGTTTTTTTGTTGTTGTTTATTTCAGCTGCATAAGATACAACAAGAAAAAAAGAGAAGCTGATGTTACACATCATCCTAAGAAACTGTTTAACTATGGTTGGCTGAATAAGGTGTAATACTTGTTCTCCACTCTGGGTTGGTTTATTTAACGCATGAAATGATTAGGGAAAGAAAGAAAGAAAGAAAGAAAGGAAGGAAGGAAGGAAGGAAGGAAGGAGGGAGGGAGGGAGGGAGGGAGGAGA